ACACTAGGATATCATCAATTAATATTATGACAAACAAATAAAGATAGGTTGGAATACAGTGTTCATCGGATGCATGAATGTTGATGGGATGTTGGTCTGCCCAGAAGACATCACAAGGAACTCATAGTGATCATAGCAGGTCCTGAATGCCGTCTTCAGAATATCCGATTCCCGAATCTTCAACTGGTGATACCCAGACCTGAAGTCAATCTTAGAGAACACCCTCTCTCCCTGAAGCTGGTCAAATAAATCATCAATGCATGGCAAAGGATACTTGTTCTTAATTGTAACTTTATTCAACTGCCTATAGTCGATGCACATCCGCATAGCTCCATCCTTCTTCTTCACAAACAGAACCGGGCAACCCAAGGCGACACACTAGGCCTAATGAAACCCTTATCAAGAAGATTTTGAAGTTGCTCCTTAAATTCCTTCAACTCTGTTGGTGCCATACGATACGGAGGAAAAGAAATAGGCTGAGTGCCCGACACTAATTCAATACCAAAATCAATATTCCTGTCGGGTGGCATGCCCAATAGGTCTACAACAAACACATTCGGAATTTCTCGGACTACCGGAACAGAATCAATAGTAGGAGTATCAACACCAACGTCCCTCACAAAAGCCAAATATGACGGACACCCCTTCCCGACCATCCGTTGGGCCTTCAAATATGAAATCACCCTGCTGGGAATATAATCAATAGAACCGCTCCACACGATCCTTGGAAACCCCGGCATCACCATCGTCACGGTCTTAGCGTGACAATCCAGAATAACATGACATGAAGACAACCAATCCATAACTAAAATCACGTTGAAATCAATAATACTAAGTAATAAGAGGTCAACACTAGTCTCTAATCCTCAAATGGTCACCACACACGCCCGATACACGCGGTCCACAACAATAGTATCGCCCACGGGCATAGATACATGAACAGGTGAAATTAAGTGCTCATGGGGCATGTCCAAATAACGAGTAAAATAGGATGATACATAGGAATAAGTAGAACCAGGGTCAAATAACGTGGAAGCATCTCTGTAGCACGCTGAAACAATACCTGTGATCACTACATCTCAAACAACGGCCTCTAGCCTGGCAGGAATAGCATAAAATCCAGCCTAACCACCACCTGATCGGCCTCCCCTCCTAGGGCGACCTCTAGCTGCCTGAGCCTCACCCCGATCTGGCTGGGTGAGTGGTGATGTAACTGGTACGGAAATCATAGCCTGAACCCTATGCTGAATTGGACCTCTGTAGTTCTAGATGTCAACTTCCAATCAAACTTATAAATATTCCAAAACTCAAAATTGCCAACATTCGCCAAGTAACGCCAAAACCTTCAAGAAACATCCAAATGCAAATTCGAGCGTAAGCCCAAGTCCAAAATTACCATCTGGATCTAATAGAACTATTAAAACTTCGATCCGGGATCAAATACACAAAAATCAAACTTGGTCAACTCTTCCAACGTAAAGCTTCCTAGTTAAGAATCATTCTTCCAAATCAACTCCGGACCACCTGAAAAGCAAAACTGATAGTTCACACAAGTCATAATACATAACATGAAGCTACTCTAGACTTCAAATAGCTGAACGTAATGCAAATGCTCATAACGGCCCGCTGTTACAGTATGCATCCATATGAATGAGCATATCTTTTCTTAGAAGTCACATAAATATAATTAATAATGCATTACATCTGTAAACAAAATTAAAGAAAAAAATTCAAGTCCCAAAAATGATGAAGGTTAATATATTTAACTAACTCAACAAAGCAAGAAATTCTACCTCACAAAAGTCCTCAATATTCAAATGCCTTATATTATCCACATATTATTCAATTTCACTACAACGATATGATAGCACATATACAATAAATTAACATGCATATTTGCAGTAAAATGAAAAATAACCGAAGTACTTGAAAATACCACACTAGAATCGATTATAAAAATAAAAAATCTTACTCAATTGAATTAGTAAATATTACACAGGAGAGAGAGAGCATGTAAGAAAAAATTATAATATATATATATATATATATATATATATATTAAAAGCACGAAGCCCCTTAGCGAAATATCGTTTGTCTTTTTTACCCTTTAAATATAGGTTTCACATTGGACACAGTCGTAATATAATTTTTTTCTAATATTTAGGACATTAAAATTAATATATTGTGTATTATATTCTTACTTATTTGAATTATTTACTATAACAAATTTATAAAAGAAAAATAACACCGAAAAAGTCAAAATAGGAAATTTTAATACTGGAAAAATTAAACTAGGAAATTTAATACCAGAAAAAACAAAATAGGAAATTTCTTGAACTTAGAACTACTTTTAGGTTAAGCCGTCTTCATTCTTTGTTATAGCATTACGATCAATTAAAATCATAAATAGGACATCGTCAAAGTATTTTACTCAAGCTAATTAAATTGAGCCCTAATCCATTCCACCAATATAATTGTATATCCTAGCAACCTTCCCTAACACTTTTCATGGCAGAAAGATCCATTGCACCTACATCTCTAATTATCACCGATAGAATTCCATCTTTGATGCGGCTCTTATCAAGTTTTTATCGCTTTTGTTTTATCTTATTTGAATATTAGTCAGGGGTCTTATTTAGTTAAGAACTAAGAAGTATGTAAAGTATCGGCAGCAAGTCCGATCTGTGTGCTATCAATTAAATATTTATATTTATTAGATTTCTTATATGTATGCATGATCTGATCAATCGAGCTGAAAACTATAGAACCCATTGCAAAAGATTAGCTCCGCTTTAGTTCCCGATTTCCTATTACCTTTGAGTCTTAGTAAGGTTGTTAAATCTGCTTTTGGTCTAAGAGTTGAAACATTAGTTCAATTTAATTATGAAGCATGAGGCCTGAGTTTAAGGACTTTTGGCCGTATAAAAGTTTTAGTATAATATGTTTTCATAAAAAAATCTATGTTAGTTTTTGTAAATGTATCAATTCCAATGGAGTTTAAGAAATCGCACCTATTATAATTGAAGAAAAGAACCTCCTTGTGATCAGTCACAAAAAAATAATTTCGATATAGCTTTTAAAGAACTATACTCATTTTCTGTATTTTTTATTGCTATGTGCATTTAAAATATTGTCTTGGCATATTGTTTATGTTAACACGGATAATATGTGCAAGATTGCTTGACTTTTTACTATTTGTAAGTGCATTTCTTCGTAATAAATTTAGTAGAATTTAAAGATGTATTATTGGTGGTAATGCGTACATGAAATTGCTAATCCAAAAGGAACCATAATAACTTATAAAATTGAAGTGACGAAGTTAGAAAACTATTAATTCTTTTTAAGTTGAATATAATAACTCATGATTAACTACTTATGTTCTGCAGTTTCTTCCTTTATTAAATTAGCTATCTAAGATCAAAACTTGTACTTTTTATAACTCAAATTCGATTTTTAAAATAGTATTTATGTACTTTTTAAAGAAATTTATTGTCATCGAGATAGGGTTCACGCGCAAAGCGCGTACCCTAAAACTAGTATTATATTAAAAGCACGAAGACCCTTAGTGAAATATCGTTCTTTTACCCTTTAAAAATACAGTTCACACTAGATAAAATTGTAATTTAATTATTTTACTAATATTTAGGAATTTGGAAATTAAATAAAATTTTATTTTTAAATTCTCTCCTCATTAAATTATGTAAGTAAGTCAATTAGGATTTTACATTTGCAAATGTATTCTTTATTTAAACTATGTAACATAAATATAATACCTTCCATGTTAAATTTTCCAATATTAGTACGTTGAAATTCATTAAAATTGAGGACGACGGCTTGCCAAAAGGCTATGTTTTATTCGCTGATTCTGTAACACCAAACGATATTTTTGACTCTCATACCAGTAACCGGAGGTATGCTGTCACAGGTCGTAGATTTTTTATAGATCCTGCTTTGAAAAGGTAGACATAATTAGTTTAAAAGTTTAAATTGAATTTATTTATCTATAGTAGAGTCTGATTAAATAAGTAATTTGTGGGAAGGAATCTTCACTCTAATACACAGCAGAAGATATTATCTGATATTAAGAAACATACAAAATCTCATATTTTAAACCAATACAAAATTGTGAAAGCAAAATAATTGCAAAACTCCATATTCTAAAACTAGGTGTAAGTCTCATACGTATTAAAGGATCACTAGAACAAAAACATTAACGAAAAAAATCTATGTGATTAAAAAATATGGTATGTTGTCTTCCTCATGTAGATTCTTTTTTACCTTAGCGATTTTTAAAAACAACAAGTTATAATTTGGTACTTTTGGACCTTATGTATGTTACTGGATTGCATAGATTTTGTTATTCTTTTTAGGAGTATGATATGTTTCAATCAATCTGTTGAATAGCTTCTAGATTATTTTAGTTCTGGAATGCAGTTATTTGTCAATAATATCTAATTTAAGAATCTAAAGATCAGTATTTTATGTTCGCTCTTGTATTTCTATGCAGGTCCAACAATTGTTTTGAGATTTTGGTTTTTGAATTCAAAGGCGAAAGCTAATTTATTAGCAAGTAGGGAGACCAATTTGGTGATCTAGCCAATGGAGCTCAAGTCATATTTCGCGTTTTCCACGATCAAGTGATTAATTAGCTATTTTGCTTTTTGCTTTAAAGTTTTGCGTCGCAATGAGTTAGAAAAGATTAAATATGTGCATATTCGTTTGTTCAATTTTATCTTTCAATCCCGCTGTACTATTAGGCAATACATATAAAAGATGATATATTTATATATGCATGGTGGTTAGGCAAAAATTCGGTGTGGAAGTCAAAAATTGTGATCTGCATAGCTGATGATTAATGCGATTGCCAAACATATCAGGAAGCTAACTAGTCCTATATGTTGTGGTTAGGCAAGATTTTGATTATGCAGATCACAATTTTTGACTTCACCTAAATGCTTGAAACATTAGAAATAAAGAGCACGAGGCATTTATCGCTATAAAATCATCACATGCGTGCAATCATAGCTGCAACCAAAGGGCGTAACATACCAACTAGGAAACAAACGATGGAAATAATCTCCCAAGAATTCATCAAACCTGTTTCTCCCACTCCGAATCACCTAAAATCCTATGATTATTCCACTCTCGATCAGTTTTCTCCTTCAAGTTACATCCCTATACTTCTATATTACACTTCTCCACAACTTGGTGAGGATAACCAAAAACCAAATGCTATCAATTCAGCAAGATTAAAGCAGTTGAAGAAGTCCTTGTCTCAAGTTCTTGCTCATTATTACCCTTTGGCAGGAAGACTTGGAAAAAATAATACTTCAGTTGATTGCAACGATGAAGGTGTGCCATTTATCGAGGCATTTGTGCACAATCAACGCTTGGAGGACATTCTCATGAGTAACCCTCATGAAAAAACACTTACAAAATCTTTTCTTCCACTTACCTTTGAGTCGTTTTCATCGAACGTTTTGCTTCTCGTTCAAGTTACCTTCTTCGAATGTGGAGGAATGGTTATCGGAATTTCAGCTACCCACAAAATATTTGATGCTTCTTCTGTATTCACATTCCTAACTGACTGGTCTGCTTTGGCACGCCAAGACAATCCCAACTTTGTGCTCACACAACTTGTTCCCATTGCAACGCTCGTACCATTATCTACTGAAGTAGGACACGTACCAGATGCTGAAGCCGTTATATCTCGGGAGCCATGTCGTACCAATATTTATGTTTTTAACTCTTCTGGTATTGCAAATCTCAAGATTAAGGGGTCAAGTGAGAACATACCAATACCTTCGCGTGTAGAAGTAGTAACAAGTATTTTGTGGAAGTGCCTAACAGCAAACTCCAAAAGGCCATCTTTGCTAACTCATACAGTAAACTTGAGGAAACGAGTTGACCCTCCAATGCATGCTCACCATATTGGAAACTTTGGATGGTTACTTTTAGCATCTAAGCATGAGAGTGAGGAAGATATAGCTAGCATGGTGGTTTCAATACGAAAAGGGTTATTCGAGTTGGATAATAACTATGTGAAGAGATTGAAGGGGGATAAGGCCGTGGAAACTATTAGGGACGGTATAAGCTTGCTGATCAGTGGCATAAAGGATGTGGATTTCTATCGATTTACTAGCTGGTGTGGTTACACAGTTTATGATGTAGATTTTGGGTGGGGGAAGCCAATTTTGTTTGGTACAATTGAGCCAAAAGTGAAGAATACGACAATATTATTAGATACAAAGGATGGTGGAGTGGAAGCTTGGGTTACTTTGAGCGAAGAAGACATGAAAATGTTTGAGAAAAATAAAGAGTTGTTAAATTATGCAACTCTCAAGGCCAGTCACCCTACCTAGACTAGACACACAAAGAAAGAATGATACAGAAATTGCTAATGTACTGCTACAATTCAGTTATTGCATTTGAGTTGGACTCTTTCAATATGATTCAATAGATATCTGTAGGAATACTTGTTTTACTTTGTAGCACTATATAAAGATAAATAACAACCCAAAAAGGGTGTGCTTTGGTTTTATATCATGGTATCAGAAAAGCCTTGATGATCATCTATATATCGTATTTCAGCAAAGCAATTCCTATATTATCCAAATTGTTCTCCCCAAACTATTTCTTCTTGTTTATTTACTTATGGCTACCCAACCTCCTAACAATCCTTACACGGTTAATATTAAAGATTTGGTTCCATTTTGCCTAGATAATTCTAACTACATGAATGGAGTTATCTTTTCCTTCATGTTCTTGATACTTAAGAGCTTCAACATCATATTGATGGATCTAGCATCATCCCATCAACTAAGATTACAAATTTATCTGGCTGTTTACCCTAGAAACCGGATAACAATTAAACTTGTAATGTGGTTTTAAGGATACGTGATTTCACCTAATACCAATTGATAAATATAAAGACAAGTAATGGAAATTGACAATAATGTAAAGCAAACCAGTGTTTGAACAGGATTCAGCCCTCGAGCCTGAATACCCTCGAGCTAGTTTGTGCAAGAACAGTTAAAGTATAGCAAACTGATGAACAAGAGAATGTAAATTAAAGAGAGAATATTGTATTGCTTTGATCTGCGTAAATGTAAGTTGTTTACAAGATGATTAGGACCCCCTTTATATAGTAGAGGAATCCTATTTATGGTACAATTCTAATTCTGAAAGTAAATCCCATGATTAACTAGATAACTGCCCTTGATTTGATCTGTTCCGAGGTTAATGCCGTGATCTTCGGCTATTCACGGATATCTCGCTTTTCCGTTATTGCGCTTTGCGCGAAGTCTGTCATATTTGGTCTAGATCGTTGTTGGCCAGGCACCTCGATCCTTATACCTCGTCTTCGTGCTCTGGTCTGATCCATTACGAGGCTAACCCTCGATGCAGTTCCCTGGTCTCGATCAAATAGCACAATCGGGTAGGCCGCTGTTTTAACCGTATATAGATAATCCCCTTGTTTCTTGGAATGTAATGAGAAGAAATGAATTGAGCCTTCGATTTTGTACCTCGATCTAACATGATGTCATCCTCGTGACGTAAGTGACGGAAGCGACCCAAACGTCCCATCGATACAGTTCCAAAAATTATTAATGAGTGTCAGTTGGCGGTCGGCCATGAGTGCCTTTGAACTGTCGCCACGAATCCTTAAATAGGTCTTCTCCTCACTTCCTCAAACTTTACTTTGATTTTTTCTTTTACTAATATTCAAAATTCCTTTGAGTTCTTCAAGTCTATCTGCAAATCTTCAAAGCTTTTCACATCTTTTGAGCCTTCCTGTTCTGCATAGTCTCTTAGGCTTCCTTACCAAACCTTCATCAAAACACCAAACCTTATCCTCTTATTCTTTCTTTACACAAAAATGGTGAAAACATCAAAAGTTGTTCCTCGGAAGGAGAAAGCCTCTTCATCGCGGTCGGCCGGCGACAAAACATCGGTGGAGCCGCGCCCTGAGGAATGCATTCCCGAGATAGGGTGTGATCTTTCTTCCGACATCAAAGTCGAGAAAACTTCTTCAGTCCCTGGCTTGTGTGAGCCAATGTCTAGGTACATGTGCTCGATAGCTCAGAGCGACCTCGAGCAGGTCAAGAAAGACTGCCATTGGGAGAAGAAAGAGGTGGTGATTCCGTCTCCCGAGGAAGATATCACTACCCACATGGAAGGGTTTCTAAGTGTTTACACTTATCCTTTCACGTTGGGCCCTGTCAATCCCGTCTCATCGACTTCTACCGCCAATACCAAATAACCCCAGGCTAGATCCACCCTTCCTTTTGGCGAATTGTCATTTTCTTCCGATTTTTTGCTAGCAAAAAAGAAGGGACGCCTTTCACCCTCGATAACCTCATCAAGATGTATAGGCCCCGTCTTTTTTGAGGTAGTTTGATAAAGCTTCAATGTCGGGCCACCAAGGTGTTGTTCTCGAGCATAGACGAGGACAAGGAACGAGGGTGGATGGGTCAGTTCGTTCGAGTGAAAACTTCCAACCTAATTCCGGTCGAGAAGATGCCATTTCCCGAGAAGAGGAATATGGAGCATAAGTTTGATCTTTCCTTTAGCTTTTATTTACTATTTTGTTCCCTTTACTTCTTATCATTGACTTCCTTTTATGTGATGTAGCGGTCGCATGGATGCCTGGAGTGATTTCGGACCTCGAGAGCTGGGTTCGAACCCTAGTTTCAACCTCTTCCTATGCTTATAGCTCATGGCGCAATTTAGAAAGGGGCCGAGGGGAGGCCAAAAATCACGGTAAGCCTTTTCTTTACGTATCTGATGGTCTTAAAATGTTTCCCTCTTATCCTTACTTGACTTCCTTTCATACAGGACTTGGGAAAGATGCCGTCATGAGGCCCCCGTCCAGGGAGTAGGAGGTTCCGCCCCCGGTTCCGAAGCCGTCGAAGGAAAAGAAAAGAAAAAGGGTCTCTCCCTCCGATACTCCAAAGACCAAGAAGAGCAAGGCTCGCATGTCGAAAAAAGACACCGTCGCCCTGCATGCTGATGTAGCTAAGTGACTAAGGGAGGAAGAGGAGGAAGATGAAGATGACGACTTTGAGCTAATAGCTCGAATGAAGAGGAGCGTCGAGGCCTCGAAGGCCGGTGAGCCATGATGATCGAAGAGGTTCAGCCTCGGACCGAGGAGATCTCGGAGGGTGTCCCGAGCAAAGTCCCCGAGTCGTCGGAGGCTGAAGATGCCTCTCGCTGCGATGAGCAATCAGCGGATATGCCTGAAGGGCCGGTTCCGAGGCCCTTCGTAATGAAGTGAACGCCCGAAGTAAATTGCTTGGGGCAATAGACGTTGACGATTCCCCACCCCTCCCCACTTTTTCCGAGGGGAAAATTCAGGAAGCCAGGCCATGGGGATCCCCGATGTGGGAATGGCCCACGAATAAGAGGACCTTTTCTTTGGTTGCTTCACGGGAGTCGAAGATGCTACCAATCTGGGTGATGTATCGAGTATCTTCGATGAGGCTCAACGACTTCTGAGCCAGGTAAGCCTCAGCTCCCTTTATCAATATTATGTTTGCCTTTATTTCCTCTAGCCTGATTTCCTTTCTTTCTTCTTAGGCCTTGATGCTTCATCGGGAAGCGTTTTCTAAATCCCGGACATAGCTGAGCCGGTCCGAGGACAATCTTAAAAAGATCATGGAGGAGAGAGATGCCCTTAAACTTTTCAGTGGGAAAAAAGAGGAGGAGATTAAGAGCCCGTTTGGATTAGCTGATTTAGAGTAGCTGATAAGCATTAGGTGCTGAAAAGCACTTTTAAGTGCTGAAGCTGATTTAAAAAATAAGCAGTTACGTGTTTGGATAAAAGTGCTGAAATTAATAATATGCAGCTAAAGAACTGGGTATAGGAAGAGTTTTGTTTTAAAAAGAAGTATTTTAGGGATAGAATAGTAAATATTTTGGTCAAACTTAAACTGCTTATAAGCTGAAATTTGATAAGTTGGGGGAGACCAACTTATGGATTTTGGCTTATTTTTTGCTTATAAGCACTTAACTTATAAGCACTTTTAATTTTACCAAACGCGTAGATAAGCCAAAAAGTGCTTATAAGCCAGTTTGACCGGCTTATAAGCCTAGCCAAACATCCTCTAAGGACCTTCGAGCTGAACTAGCCACGACTCACAAAGAGCAGACTGACCTGATTGAGCAAGTAATGAAGAATCTTCTTAGAAGCTCGATATATCAATTCGGGAACGAAGACTAATACTTTGATCCTGCAGGTTCAACAGAAGGCCGAAAAGATCGAGCAACTCCGTGAGGATGCCAACATGATGAAGGCAGAGACTTTGGGGTGGAAGCAAAACATGGACCGCCTTGCCTCAGAGAAGGATACTGCTGGGGCCCAACTGTCATCGGCCGAACGCCAACTCGAAACCATGAAGGAGGAAAGATTAGCCCGAGCAAAGAAAATTGAGGATCTTGAGGTTCGGTTGACTGCCAATCTTGCAAAGGCCACATCTAAGGCAGAAAAAGTAAAGGATGAAGCGGAGGCGATCGTGGCCGTCTACCGAGCTGATGCTGAAGTTGCTCAAGTTCGAGCGAAAGAAATGGTTGGCACCGCTTAGACTCGATCATACTAGGTCGTCGAGCATGCCAAGTACTAGTCTCGAAGACAGACTCTCGAGGAGATCCATGCTCGTGGCTTTGACCTTGAATTCGATATCGAGAATGCGAAAGTACTCGAGGCTGAAGCTAAAGCGTTGCTCTCTATCGATTTACTAGCTGGTGCGGTGACATAGTTTATGATGTAGATTTTGGGTGGGGGGAAGCCAATTTTGTTTGGTACAATTGACGCAAAATTGAAGAATACGACAATATTATTAGATACAAAGGATGGTGGAGTGGAAGCTTGGGTTACTTTGAGTGAAGAAGACATGAAAATGTTTGAGAAAAATAAAGAGTTGTTAAATTATGCAACTCTCAAGGCCAGTTACCCTAACTAGACTAGACACACTAAGCAAGAATGATACAGAAATTGCTAATGTATTGCTACAATTCAGTTATTGCATTTGAGTTGGACTCTTCCAACAAGCCACTGTTATTATCGTATTTGAGTTGGACTCTTCCAATAAGATTCAGTAGATATCCGTAGGAATACTACTTGTACTTTGTAGCACTATATAAAGATAAATTACAACCCATAAAAGGGTGTGCTTTGGTTTTATATCATGGTATCAGAAAATAAAGCCTTGATGATCATCTATATATCGTATTTCAGCAAAGCAATTCCTATATTATCCAAATTGTTCTCCCCAAACTATTTCTTCTTGTTTATTTACTTATGGCTACCCAACCTCCTAACAATCCTTACACGGTTAATATTAAAGATTTGGTTCCTTTTTGCCTAGATAATTCTAACTACATGAAATGGAGTTATCTTTTCCTTCATGTTCTTGATATTTAAGAGCTTCAACATCATATTGATGGATCTAGCATCATCCCTTCAACTAAGATTACAAATTACAAATTTATCTGGCGCAAAAAATTCTAATCTAGAGTTTCTGAAATGGTGTCACTTAGATCTG